TTCGCGAAGTAAGTCCCGTTTCATTGCAATATAAATCTTGATTATCGATCGGACCAGCTTGACTGGGCGCCGCCATTTTTTTTTAAACAAATGCAAGTGATATGAGAGGTGGGATCTGATTGGTCAATAGGAGGACATAGAAGGGACATAACTCGTAATAGCCACTGGTGGCGCGACGATCTAACCAAGAAATTCCGGCCTAATTCAGCAAGGATAGAAACTGGACTTAAGTTAACTCCCTTGCCTCAGGGAATGATGTATTGTATTCAAAGCACGCCCCGCTATGAATGGAATCCCACTGTCTCTATTAATAATTGCTATTTGATGACATTAACATAACTCATAAACAATACTTTCCCCTTTCACGTTGTGGTACCTATTTCTGCTCATGTTTTCCAACCCACTGATCGCTTGTCATGACATGGATTCGGCTAAATGAGTTCTAATATTGTTCCAGCCCAGACCATGAGCAACATGAAGCCTTCCCTCCAGAAGATCATTGACACCGGCAAGGATGCCGTCAAGACCCTCACGTCCAACTAAACTGTATGACGACAGGCGTATGGAAATAAATATATTTTCTCATATAAGTGTTTTTCTTATATACGGATACTACACAACGTTTACATGGATTACGTATCATGTAGGTATACTGGTGCTACTATGTTCCTGGAATGTGAGACTCAACCTGCCGAGATTATTTCCCATGACAAATGTACTACTCACTTTTGCCGTCACCAAACTAAAAAAAGGTCACATTGGGGTGTTATCAGTGAGATTGTCTCAGTAGGATTTTAATGAGAGGGTTTGCCCTCACTAAACCAAATGAAGTGTTTTCCAATTCGAAGTAATACGTAACTTGTCAGAAGTCTCAATACTCAAAAGCTACAATCAGACGCATTTGTGATGGCATAATACAGAATAATGCCAGTCAGCGAAGGTATTTGTCATGGGATTATACAGAATAATGCCAGTCAACGAAGCTATTTGTGATTTATAGGTCAGATATTTATATTGTTATCAGGTACAATCAAACATTTCTGAGCTATGGCTAAACATACAATTTATGCATGAGAGGACATTTATATTCAATGTACACCATTTGAGAGGTTACTTTGACAAACCCACTTCCCCAATATAATCAGACAGTGGTATAGGTGTAATCAGGGCATCTGTTAAACTGTGAATATAGACTTTCGTTGTGTTCATGGAAATTCCTGCATTCTCATTAACTGAACTGGTCACGTGTTATTGCATTCATTTCCCAATGAATGTAAAAATTAAGCAACGCCCACCGAGGCGCACTTCTTTTAATACTGCGGAATGTCGGGGGATCCCAACATAGTTCATGTGCATAAATTAAACAATCACCTGATTAATGTCACGCCACATAATGTATTCCTACACATGGAATGTTTATCAATCTTGTCATTTTTGTCCGCTTTGACATATACACTGTTTTGGGTTAAACTATTGTAGATAAAACATTTTTTCTTTGTTGAATGTAATTATAAGCATTGACATTTAATAATAAGCATTGACTGTGTATTCATTTCGGTTCATTGAGGTATGAATCGGAAAAAAAACGGTGTGCAAACTTTTGTAATGAACCGAAAGAAATACACAGTCAATCCTTTACTGCATTCATGGTAATAAGCATATCACGTTGGATCTATTCTTTGTCTTTTTCAAAGTCACACGTTCATTAGTGTTTAAATGTATGACATCAATAGCTCCACCATAATAGCTACTCGTGTACAAGCTATTGTTGTAATACACCATGCCAGCAACCTCGTGATCGACCTGCATAACCTCAGTGGTGACGCTAGTGACGAGAGATCGCCGCATCACCCTGTCACGTATGTTGAAATACAGGAAATCCTTCGTGGTGTCAAATGTAACAGCATTGACATTCCTTCCCTTCTTTATGCGGTGTAGATTCCGTCCATCATACGTGACGGACCACAGACCTTCATAGTATTTACAGAAGTATATCACTCTGTGCTTGTCATCTACATCAATGCCTATAGGGTAATAAAAACCTGTTGCTGTCAAAGTTACTATGATCTTGAAGTTTGCACCCTTTGGTGACATCCGTCCAATTGCATGTATTGGTCGTGATGTTGAAAAGAAGAGCGTTTGTCGACCTGCATCCACAGTTAATCCTCTTGCTCTGATTGCACCTCGGAGTCTTGTGATACCTGCTTTGTCCAGATCAGAAGAGAAAATACCCTCTGGTTTAGACCTTGAAAACAACACTCTTTGTGACACAGGCTCGTATGCTACTGACAATACATAGGATATGTTCAGAAAAGGATACGCCTCCATCTCATTTCTTTGCATGTTAATCTGACGTGGACGTTGCAGGGATTTCGACAAGTGATGGACGACTAGAATCCTCGTCCTTTCATCCGAGTTGAGAGTGCGAGATGATGTAGTGAGTGGCGTTGTAGTTGATGATGTTGTTGCAGCTGTTGCTGTGGATGACGATGAAGCAGAGAGACACATGCAATCGTTATCCAATGCATCAAACTTAGTGTTCAATTCTTTGTGAGCTTGTGACGTCCTGATCATGTCAAGGGAGTGAGTTCTGTTCATACTTCTCAAATAAGTTCGCATATCATTGATCTTATTGTTTTGAGAGAACATTTGTTGTCGATGTCTCCTCATGGACGTTTGCAGTCCATCGAAGGTTGATTTCAGTCGTTGTCGTTCCACAGATTCTGCATTGCATCGTTGATTCAAAGCTGAAAATTGGTCATTTATGGAGGTCACATTATCTGCTAAGCTTACCAAACGGCGAGCTGTTTTATTGACCGTTACACACAATTCGGCTTCACTCTGCTCTTGAAGCCGCACTGGACCATGTTGCCGTTGTTTGTTGACGGTCTTCCTATGGCTGGTCAGTGACTTCATCTGTCGTTTCATGTGTTGAAAGCCCTGCTTCAGATGCTGCAACTGTGACATCACGTGTGTGGGACCTGCAGCATCCTTGGACCGCTCTGCGAGTATTCGCGTCAAGGAAGCTTCGACTTGACTGTGGATGATATCAGGCAGAGTTGTGCTCAGAAGATCATCTCGGAATTTCTTCATTTGGGAGGCGACCCTTGCCTCTACTTCAGCTTTAATCCTGTCTGTTACATCCGAGGGAATTGTCTGTCCTAGCGCCCAGACCATGATGCTGGAGCATATCAACAACTTCACACACACCTCCGCCATGTTGGTGAGCAGTGACAATCACAAGCTTAGTGATAACATTCCTGATAACACAGCACATGACCTGATTTGTTATCAAAATTATTCATAAAATGCGATGGCTGGTTGGACTTTTTTTTTATATATTTCCTTTAAAAGTACTGTCTGTTAAGCTAAGTTGTTTCGATGTCATCTATACTGTAAGTCCGTGACAAATATGAGTGACAGGGCGTTGAGAAGATATGAAATGGGTCATAAGTAATCAACTCACGAAAATAGAGATAGCAGTTGGAAACACAAGGTTTAGGTTACGAGTTTGTGTGAAGCTCATTCTGTGTCTGGTTTTCGTACGCTGGCTTTAAGGACTGATTTTTATAGTGAATGAAGTTTTATATAATCGTAAAGAAACATCTACACACAAAATGCAAAAATCCTTATTTCGAGGAGTGCTGTGAGAAAAAAAATGTCATTTGATATTGAGTGCAAAAGCGCCAGGTCATAAAACGCAAGAATCCATCATTTGGATATACTTTGCCTCATTTTCCTCAGATGTATGTTTCGTGGTCGAATAATGGTTCAGTTTTTTGTGAGAAAAATAACATTTCCACAGCGTCACCCCAAAGAACGAAGCCGCTTGTAATACCGCATATGAAATAACTGATAATATAAGGATGTCTGTGATACTTGATACAACTTTTATATATCATAGGGTCGGTTTCTGAAGTTATAACCACAACCATGAAACAATCAATCCTGTATGACCTTCCCCTCCTACGTGAGTCCGTGTTATGATAACACAAGGCATTGATATGCAGTATCTGTTCTTGTTCATGTATAGGATGTCCTGTCAAGTGAACTAGCTGTGACCTAAATAGCATGTGCACCACTAAACGTCTGACAGTGTAGTGTATGATTCTTTCTTGCTACTGGTTACTTCTATATCTGCAGGTGCAGCACCAGGACACGTTTATTATGAAGTACCAGGCCGATGTCAGATGTCTCAGGGAGTCTTTGTTTATGAAGTGTATCCACATGTATAAACTATCAGGCAGCGTTATGTATCACTTATCGCCTGTCAGCTGATCCACAATGCTATGCCATACTAGGACCTTAAATGCAGTTTTCACACCACCTCGGTCATGACACTCACTTCTTCCCAGAACTGACGTATGCTATCAGTCGAGCAGCACTGTTTCCTAATTTCCTTTGTCATCCCTGATTTCAGTGATCCATGCATGTAATTTCATCAATGTTAAGCCCCATAAACTCTGTTTTAGGGAACTGGTTATTCTTTGATTCTCAGAGCGTCTTCAAGTAGCAAAGATCAGGACATCATCATGAAGCAAGTGTCAGGGCACTATATTGTTCGCAGTATATTGTCATCTTTGTATTTGCCCATGAGGGCGTCACGCATACATGAGTCTATCCTTATCTGAGTAAGTGAGTAGGAGTATATGCAGCTTTCAGCAATATTCCAGCAATATCACGGAGGGTCTTGCATTAGACGTACATGTATCAGGATATATCTATGTATCTATGACTTATCCGTTCTGTCGTAATACTTCCTGACAATTCGTGTGTTCCAATCCCATAATTCTTTTGGAGATGCTCCTTCTTGATGTTTCAGCATAATATCCATGGCTAGGGGCTTCATCCAAATAGTGGTGTCAGTGGTCTGACTTCCCACACAGACACCCCTCTATGTAGATGAAATACTCACCTCATTCATGGACACATGGTCCTTAAACATTGGATACCTTTTACAGATTTGCTCTGTACAATTTAAGCGAAAACAAAGTTGACAATGGTTATAATAATAAAGTTTATTAATATAATGTATATAAAGTGACGTAGCAACTTTGATTAGAAATATACATATTTACATATTTATAATATGTAACAACAATAAACAGACGGACACAAACCACTAACCAAGTTCGAACCAGCGAACAGGCGAGTCAGTGTTGGGGATACAACTCTTTGTGGTAGCTTGACAGGCTTTTGGGCGCTGTACATTACTATTGCCAAGAATGCCAAATTCAAATGCCATTTATTTCTGAAATATCCCAACATGGGTTGAAGAATATAAACATCTTCTATTATATTTGTTATCTAATAAGTGTAAGTAGATATTCATCATTGAGTACATTACTGTCGGAATCTTAGGCCCCTCACCAGTGATTCAACTTTCAGATGATATCAGATGAGCTAGAAATCTCACACATTGTGAAGGTATATGAGTTATATACAGAATACTGTAAGTATGACAACGATATATTATGTATCCAATACTGATGAATGTACAATGCATATAATGAAATAGGCTCCTGAACGTAGCGATACGTCTATCGTAGATCTCTGTATAAAAATGGCGATTACAATACACGTAGCACAAGGTGTTCCTTGTGACAGGAGTCCTAGTGAATGTCGATATGATGCCGAATCACGAAGCATCAAGACGAGAGTTCTGCCATCACAACTTAAAGAAATTGAAACAGTTAACCTCAGTTCCACTTCCTTGTTCCACACATTGATATACTGCATCCTTGTCATGTCAGGGCACAATGGACGGAGTCACACGGAACTCATTTCGTCGTATGATCCGTGATGAGCAGTAGAGCATGACACTGGGCTGTACACACACATTCTCATTAAGTCGAACTTTCTGTCCCCCTGTCATCTCATTAACTCCGTTGTTGATGGCGTTGCTGCTAATGGGGATGTCGTGGATGATCTTATAAACATCGCAGAGGTGTTAACGATGGTAGACGAAACCTGTCCTGCCATGTGTTTATCCACTTGGAACAAAGTCAATGTATTGCGAGCAGTTTGTAGAATAGTCACTGTGACTCACTGTGGTACAAGCAGCCTGTGAAATAGTCACTGTGCGTCATCGTGGTACAAGCAACCTGTGAAATAGTCACTGTGCGTCATCGTGGTACAAGCAGCCTGTGAAATAGTCACTGTGCGTCATTGTGGTACAAGCAGCGTGTGAAATAGTCACTGTGCGTCATCGTGGTACAAGCAGCGGGTGAAATAGTCACTGTGCGTCATCGTGGTACAAGCAGCCTGTGAAATAGTCACTGTGCGTCATCGTGGTACAAGCAGCGTGTGAAATAGTCACTGTGCGTCATCGTGGTACAAGCAGCGTGTGAAATAGTCACTGTGAGTCATCGTGGTACATGCAGCCTGTGAAATAGTCACTGTGCGTCATCGTGGTACAAGCAGCGTGTGGAACAGTTACTGTGAGTCATTGTGGTACAAGCAGTTTGGGATAGAGGCAATGTCCTACAGAAGCTCGTAACATGCTACTGCCAGCAGATTGAGACGCAATCCTTTTGTTCCTTGCAGTTTGAGACGTCATTGTGGTCAATGTGTTGTGGGCAGATTTGTCCGATGATGAATAAACAACGTGTAATGTAGATGATGACTTAGCTGGAACAGCGTTGAAGCCGACTCGCCATGATAGTCCTGCGCTGGCTGGTGTTAGCATCACCTGTACGGCATTAGTCCCGAGATGAAGGCTGCAATGTAGCAAATTGATCAAGTACAGTTAGATTATTTATGGAGTCGATGACATTTGCATTGTGGACGACGGTGTTGGTTGTATTGTGGGCGGCGGTGTTGGTTGTGTTGTACTAGATATCGACTGGGATATTGATATTGAAGAATTTTCCACGATGGTCGTTGATTGAATTGAGGGTGATGCTGATGAGGATGATTGTACTGAAGGAGTTGCCGACTGAAAAAGTGTTGAAGATTGTGCCACGGCCGACGATGACTGCAATGACGACGTTGATGAGGCTTCGACTGACGCAGATGTCGACTGGGTAACAGGTGTTGAAGATTGTGTCACGGCCGACAATGACTGCAAGGCCGACGTTGCTGAGGCTTCGACTGAGGCAGATGTCGACTGGGCAATAGCTGTTGAAGATTGTGTCACGGCCGACGATGACTGCAATGACGACGTTGCTGAGGCTTCTACTGAGGCAGATGTCGACTGGGTAACAGGTGTGGAAGATTGTGTCACGGCCGACGATGATTGCAATGACGACGTTGCGGAGGCTTGGACTGAGGCAGATGTCGACTGGGCAATAGCTGTTGAAGATTGTGTCAGGGCCGACGATGACTGCAAGGACGACGTTGCTGAGGCTTGGATTGAGGCAGATGTCGACTGGGCAACAGGTGTTGAAGATTGTGTCACGGCCGTCGATGACTGCAATGACGACGTTGCAGAGGCTTCGACTGAGGCAGATGTCGACTGGGCAACAGGTGTTGAAGATTGTGTCACGGCCGACGTTGTTTGCAATGACGACGTTGGTGAGGCTTCTACTGAGGCAGATGTCGACTGGGTAACAGGTGTGGAAGATTGTGTCACGGCCGAAGATGATTGCAATGACGACGTTGCTGAGGCTTCGACTGAGGCAGATGTCGACTGGGCAATAGCTGTCGAAGATTGTGTCACAGCCGACGATGACTGCAATGACGACGTTGCTGAGGCTTGGACTGAGGCAGATGTCGACTGGGCAACAGGTGCTGAAGATTGTGTCACAGCCGACGATGACTGCAAGGACGACGTTGCTGAGGCTTCGACTGAGGCAGATGTCGACTGGGCAACAGGTGTTGAAGATTGTGTCACGGCCGACGATGTTTGCAATGACGACGTTGGTAAGGCTTCTACTGAGGCAGATGTCGACTGAGTAACAGGTGTGGAAGATTGTGTCACGGCCGACGATGATTGCAATGACGACGTTGCTGAGGCTTGGATTGAGGCAGATGTCGACTGGGCAATAGCTGTTGAAGATTGTGTCACGGCCGACGATGACTGCAATGACGAAGTTGCTGAGGCTTGGACTGAGGCAGATGTCGACTGGGCAACAGGTGTTGAAGATTGTGTCACGGCCGACGATGACTGCAATGACGACGTTGCTGAGGCTTCGACTGAGGCAGATGTCGACTGGGCAACAGGTGTTGAAGATTGTGTCACAGCCGACGATGACTGCAAGGACGACGTTTCGGAGGCTTGGTCTGCGGCAGATGTTGACTGGGCAACAGGTGTTGAAGATTGTGTCACAGCCGACGATGACTGCAATGCCGACGTTGCGGATGTTTGCACTGAGGCAGATGTCGACTGGGCAACAGGTGTTGAAGATTGTGTCACGGCCGACGATGACTGCAATGACGACGTTGCGGATGTTTGCACTGAGGCAGATGTCGACTGGGCAACAGGTGTTGAAGATTGTGTCACGGCCGACGATGACTGCAATGACGACGTTGCGGAGGCTTGCTCTGAGGCCGATGTCGACTGGGCAACAGGTGTGGAAGATTGTGTCACGGCCGACGATGACTGCAATGACGACGTTGCTGAGGCTTGCACTGAGGCAGATGTCGATTGGGCAACAGGTGTTGAAGATTGTGTCACGGCCGACGATGACTGCATTGACGACGTTTCGGAGGCTTCGACTGAGGCAGATGTCGATTGGGCAACAGGTGTTGAAGATTGTGTCACAGCCGACGATGACTGCATTGGCGACGTTGCGGAGGCTTGGCCTAAGGCAGATGTCGACAGGGCAACAGGTGTTGAAGATTGTGTCACGGCCGACGATGACTTCAATGACGACGTTGCTGAGGACTGCACTGAAGCCGATGTCGACTGGGCAACAGGTGTTGAAGATTGTGTCACGGCCGACGATGACTGCAATGACGACGTTGCTGAGGCCTGGACTAAGGCCGACGTCGACTGGGCAACAGGTGTTGAAGATTGTGTCACAGACGACGACGACTGCAAGGACGACGTTGCGGAGGATTCGACTGAGGCAGATGTCGATTGGGCAACAGGTGTTGAAGATTGTGTCATGGCTGACGACGACTGCAATGACGACGTTGCAGAGGCCTGGACTGGGGCAGATGTCGACTGGGCAACAGGTGTTGAAGATTGTGACACGGCCGACGATGACTGCAATGACGACGTTGCTGAGGTTTGAACTGAAACAGATGTCGTCTGGGCAACAGGTGTTGAAGATTGTGTCACGGCTGACGACGACTGCAAGGACGACGTTGCTGAGGCTTCGACTGAGGCAGATGTCGATTGGGCAACAGGTGTTGAAGATTGTGTCACGGCTGACGACGACTGCAATGACGACGTTGCTGAGGCTTCGAGTGAGGCAGATGTCGACTGGGCAACAGGTGTTGAAGATTGTGTCACGGCCGACGATGACTGCAATGCCGACGTTGCGGATGTTTGCACTGAGGCTGATGTCGACTGGGCAACAGGTGTTGAAGATTGTGTCACAGCCGACAATGACTGCAAGGACGACGTTGCGGAGGCTTGCACTGTGACAGATGTCGATTGGGCAACAGGTGTTGAAGATTGTGTCACAGCCGACGATGACTGCAATGACGACGTTGCAGAGGCTTCGAGTGAGGCAGATGTCGACTGGGCAACAGGTGTTGAAGATTGTGTCACAGCCGACGATGACTGCAAGGACGACGTTGCGGAGGCTTGCACTGAGGCAGATGTCGATTGGGCAACAGGTGTTGAAGATTGTGTCACGGCCGACGATGACTGCAATGACGACGTTGCTGAGGCTTCGACTGAGGCAGATGTCGACTGGGCAACAGGTGTTGAAGATTGTGTCACAGCCGACGATGACTGCAAGGACGACGTTGCTGATGCTTGGATTGAGGCAGATGTCGACTGGGCAACAGGTGTTAAAGATTGTGTCACGGCCGACGATGACTGCAAGGACGACGTTGCGGAGGCTTGGACTGAGGCAGATGTCGACAGGGCAACAGGTGTTGAAGATTGTGTCACGGCTGACGGTGACTGCAATGACGACGTTGCAGAGGCTTCGAGTGAGGCAGATGTCGATTGGGCAACAGGTGTTGAAGATTGTGTCACGGCCGACGATGACTGCAATGACGACGTTGCTGAGGCTTCGAGTGAGGCAGATGTCGATTGGGCAACAGGTGTTGAAGATTGTGTCACGGCCGACGATGACTGCAATGACGACGTTGCTGAGGCTTCGACTGAGGCAGATGTCGACTGGGCAACAGGTGTTGAAGATTGTGTCACGGCCGACGATGACTGCAATGCCAACGTTACGGATGTTTGCACTGAGGCAGATGTCGACTGGGCAACAGGTGTTGAAGAGAGAGTCACGGCCGACGATGACTGCAATGCCGACGTTGCAGAGGCTTGGACTGAGGCAGATGTCGACTGGGCAACAGGTGTTGAAGATTGTGTCACAGCCGACGATGACTGCAATGACGACGTTGCGGAGGCTTGGATTGAGGTCGATGTCGATTGGGCAACAGGTGTTGAAGATTGTGGCACGGCCGACGATGACTGCAATGACGACGTTGCAGAGGCTTGCACTGAGGCAGATGTCGACTGGGCAACAGATGTTGAAGATTGTGTCACAGCCGACGATGACTGCAAGGACGACGTTGCTGAGGCTTGCACTGAGGCAGATGCCGTCTGGGCAACAGGTGTTGAAGATTGTGTCACGGCCGACGATGACTGCAATGACGACGTTGCGGAGGCTTGCACTGAGGCAGATGTCGACTGGGCAACAGGTGTTGAAGATTGTGTCATGGCCGACGATGACTGCAAGGACGACGTTGCGGAGGCTTGCACTGAGGCAGATGTCGACTGAGCAACAGTTGTTGAAGATTGTGTCACAGCCGACGATGACTGCAAGGACGACGTTGCGGAGGCTTGCACTGAGGTAGATGTCGACTGGGCAACAGGTGTTGATGATTGTGTCACAGCCGACGATGACTGCAAGGACGACGTTGCGGAGGCTTGCACTGAGGCAGATGTCGACTGGGCAACAGGTGTTGAAGATTGTGTCACGGCCGACGATGACTGCAATGACGACGTTGCGGAGGCTTGCACTGAGGCAGATGTCGACTGGGCAACAGTTGTTGAAGATTGTGTCACAGCCGACGACGACTGCAAGGACGACGTTGCGGTGGCTTGCACTGAGGCAGATGTCGACTGGGCAACAGGTGTTGAAGATTGTGTCACGGCCGACGATGACTGCAAGGGCGACGTTGCTGAGGCTTGCACTGAGGCAGATGTCGACTGGGTAACAGGTGTTGAAGATTGTGTCACGGCCGACGATGACTGCAATGACGACGTTGCTGAGGCTTCGACTGAGACAGATGTCGACTGGGCAATTGCTGTTGAAGATTGTGTCACAGCCGACGATGACTGCAATGACGACGTTGCGGCTTCGACTGAGGCAGATGTCGACTGGGCAATTGCTGTTGAAGATTGTGTCACGGCTGACGACGAAGACGTTACTGGCGTAGTAGATTGTATTACAGACTGCCCAGCAACTGATGACGAAGGCTCTGTCGAAGTAGATGACGCCTGTACCGAAGCTGAAACTGCAGCTGGGGATGACTGAACTGTGTTTGATGATGGAGGCGTTGATGTAGTCGATGATGTGGTACTGGGTATTGGAGGACATTCTGCATCAGTCTGTACGTCGCTTGACGACGTAGTTAATACCCCACACTCCCTGTCGGGGTCGACGTTCAACGTTCCGACTTTTCCATCTTTTGATTGGGCAATGATGAACTGCGCCAAGAGGTCATTGAACGTAGATCCCAGGCTGGCTCCGCCCCTTGGCACTACCAGCTCGTAGATAAAGATTAAACTGCCATTTCTGAAAAGAATCGGAAAGTATTAACAAAGTTTTGCCAGGGTCATGGGAGGCTTCATCTCAACATTAAAAGACTAATTATTTGATTGGCATTTCTAATCAGGCAAAGGCGTCAAGTGTACAATTAACTTGTAATGAGATGCTGGTATTTTGTGTTGGCCTGGGATAATTTTGAATAGTAATAGTTTGTTCAAGAAAAGACTTGACAAACATAATAATGTCTCGGGATTTTACAAAGAAATATGAAGACTGGATATGCTGAATGAAAACACTGTGGCTCCCCCCCCCCCCCCCCCTAGACACACACACACACACACACACACACACACTCACACACACACACACACACACACACACACACACACACCCCACACCCCACACCCCCACCCCACCCCAATACCCTTCCCATCTATCTTGGAGAATGGTATTTCCTTTATAATATGCGAAGAGGCGTTGGAACTTAATTCATTAACTGATAGTGTCATAAATTGAGATTTGCACAGTCACATTGGCTGTTGATATTACCTTATCTCCAGTACTTTACAGCTAAAGTCCTTGCCCTTCAATGGGGAGTCGTCAAGGAGTAACGTCTCCTTCAGCTGAAAGAGGAACGCGCCGCTGTTATGATACACGGTTATAGGAATTATGAAGCATAAATTGTGTTGTGTTTGTTTGTTAAACGTCGCACTCAGCAATATTCCAGCTACATGATAGCGATATGTCAATAATTGAGTCTGGACCAGACAGTCATGACCATCGATCCACTCAATTGGGATGTGATGACACGCATCAACCAAGTCAGCGAGCCTGACCACCCGATCCCGTTAGTCGCCTCTTTACAATATGTATGATAACGTACTATTGAAATTGATATTCTTACATTATTTGGAAACGTCCCATATTTTATTTTACTGCTTTTTGGTTCAATCAATTCGTGTTACCTGTTTGCAGAACTCGGTGGCTGCCGCCTTGAACTCAGAGCTTCCGGGGTTGGCGAGTTCAGGGGTATATGTCTTATTTGTCACTCGGAGACTGGTCTGCACGCGCTCTGGAAGTAGGAGATCAGGGGTCAGTACGTGGGAATACCGCAGGGCCACGCAGTATAAGCGGAAACTTCAAAAATTCCGACTACGATATACCGAAACATTGTAATATCTTTCAGATCGACGGATCTACAGTCGTGGGGGCCCGGTTAGGCAAGTGAATATGATCGGCTGACCAGGGGATGGCGTGAGACGTTGCTCATAATATCAACCACTGGTTATCTCGCCCGGAATAGGTTATTACAAGCTGCCGTGATGGCAAGAACATTTCCTTACTCACTTGACGGTCCCAGCAACATCAACACTGTGATGTTATATCAGTACTCGGACTATGGATAGATCCATGTGTGCACGGTGCGCGCTGACGTAGCGAGGCTTCATTCAGAGTGTACAGGCACCTCTTATCGGTACCAAGTGGTAGATTCGGAACACACTGGTGCTATTAATTCTGTTTGTAAAAGGTTTTGTTCTTGTTGGGAAAAGTTTTCGTTCTGCAATATGTATATTTCTTAAAATATCTTCATTTTAATTTCAAGATACGAATCAACTATTGTACTTACCAATTGGAACTGCACCGGATGACTTCTGTGTAACTGAAAAATACAGGCATCACAGTCAGAGATTTGATTAATAATTAACCGAACGTCCATTTGGCAAATATATCAGTGACACTTAAACTTTCAATAGAGTGATATTGTTTGATAGGCATTACTTAGAAGTTGACGGATGACAAAATGACACAATTTATGCATAACATAACATTTACAGTATTAAAAAAGTTGTTATCCATAAATTGTGTCAACTTTGGAATAGAGAGATAGTCAGTTCTTGACAACGGATGCTGATGTGAAACGTAATAAAGTTTGGATGTATTACAACATCGTTAAAACTGACGACACAGGTACACTCACGTATGACTGACACGACGATGGAGCTGATGATGATGCTGACGAGAAGAAAAAGGAGGATGACGAAAACGCAGAATTTCCGGTTGGATCTCCTCTTGGCGGTGTCGTCACTGGAGGCGTCGGTGGTGCTGACAACATCGTCCTTGGCGTGATACGTGGGCACGGGCATGACGACGTCGCCGTCCCTCGGGGTGTAGTAGAATCGGTACGCGCCCTGTAGTTCCTGGTAGTCCACGCCATTGTCGTAGGCCAGCATATGGCTGAAGTACTTATCCTCCTTCGTGTTGAGGTCCTCCGAGCTGGAGTTCAGGTTCGTCAGATGCGGCCACTAAAATTGATAGAGTGAGTGAGTGAGTGAGTGAGTGAGTGAGTGAGTGAGTGAGAGAGTGAGTGAGTGAGTGAGTGAGTGAGTGGGTGGGTGGGTGGGTGGGTGGGTGGATGGGTGCATGAGTGAATGAGTGAGTGAGTGAGTGAGTGAGTGAGTGAGTGAGTGAGTAAGTGAGTGAGTGAGTGACTGAGTTTAATGTTTAGTGAGTGAGAGAGTGAGTGAGTGAGTGAGTGAGTGAGTGGGTGGGTGGGTAGGTGCATGAGTGAATGAGTGAGTGAGTGAGTGAGTGAGTGAGTGAGTGAGTGAGTGAGTGAGTGAGTGAGTGAGTGAGTGAGTGAGTGAGTGAGTGAGTGGGTGGGTGAGTGAGTGAGTGAGTGAGTGAGTGAGTGAGTGAGTGGGTGGGTGGGTGGGTGGGTGCATGAGTGAATGAGTGAGTGAGTGAGTGAGTGAGTGAGTGAGTTTAATGTTCCTTTGAAAATAATTTATATTATATCACGTCAGTGAGGAAAGCGCGAAGTAATCAAAGTCTTAGACGTTTTCCACTTTGGTGAAACACACGAGCACGGATATAGTGCTGATAAACCTTAACAACATATTCAGACGAACCAGGATTAAAAAACGAACTGCGGTGACACGGTTGTTTGGTCCAACCCTGTCCACCAGGAATTCATAAACGGATGTCAGTTTGAGAGTTGCATACATGTTGGCGTGAGACGTTTGGGTTTGAACAGCTTTCTCACGACAATGTGCGAGGCAAGTGTTGCCGATCTAAGATATTTACTACGATCATGGGTATGGTGCTGCGAAATAAATAATCATTTTTTTATTTTTGACCCACGAAGAAATAAAAAATTGTCCAATTTACAAGATGTGTTGTTTGATTGTATTGAATCATGACGAAGTCCATTTTGTGTTTGGTTGTAAGGATTATAAACGACAAGAAAGAACTTCTTTGAGAGCGATTTATAAGATGATAAGGATGTTAGAACCAACATCGAAACGTCGCGCCTTATTGATATAAAGAACTTGTTCATCCATACGTCTTATCTTTACTTACTGACAAGCAGGAAGTACGTCGTCAGGTAAGAAGACAGAACCAACATTGTTTGAATTATTAATATATATCTTATATCGTAATTAGTAGGTCATCTGTTGTTCACGTGCACTTCATGTGTACATCATTTGTATTTTGTCCTGACTTTGTCTCATTGAAAGGAATGCAGGGTGGTATTCATGTGTCGTGGGAAAGTAGTGCTTGCTTATCATGTCGTCACGGATCAGATAGTTCATATCGGCATTTTCATGACATCTTGAGAACAACGTGCTCTTTGTACACATATAATTTTGACAGAGTATAGCTTCACAACAAAGGTTGACTTTGTTAATCTGTTACGCAGGTTAAACGGAGAACACTCATTGTCATGAGTCCAGGACTGTTCTTTTTGGAATTCGTCGACAATGAAGAATGTTGATTAACCTCCACAGTAAAATGTAAACAAGTAGATTATGAAACCATTTGAATCCAACTTGCCAGCACAGCCCTAGTCTAGTTCCCCTTAGGTTTTGTCTCAACCCCATGGGGATTCCTGGTAAGAATACTAATTCCTAGCAACCTACTGCTTGTCGTCAGGGGCGACGGAATGATTATGTTGGCGAGGAATGTTGACTTGGATGATAACATGTCATCAATTCCATATTGCGTGGGTCGATGTTCATGATGTCAATATCACTGAATTTGTGGACCAGTCTCGATTATTTACAGATCGCCGTCATAAAGTTGCAATATTGATAATATCGGCGTCAAACAACAAACAAACAAAACGTGTGTGTACATAGCACGAGAGTAAAAAAAGGTTGAGTTTATTGTTGGATTTCTGGTAGGGATTCAATTAAAAGGTAGGAAAAAGGCAGGTCAGTGAAATGACAGTAAATGAAAATATATGACTAAACTCCCGTGAGTGATGGAGGGACGACTGACATGTCGGCGTAGCATATGCCTTGGGCCCTGAAGCTCACAGTGAGATGTACATGTATGTGACAATGTCATGACCCGTGCTTTCACCAATCTGGTGGTACTTCCGTCTCTCGATGTACATGGTTCTCCGTGAAATAAGCCACAGGGTATATCTACAGATTTAACACTTAGGTCGGTGCTCGTAGGTGACCATGTTCTTGATTATTATTATTATTATTTACAGATTAAAATACAAAATGCAGCAAAGAGGATTTGATTGATCCTGGCACAGTCAAGCTGGTTAGGGTCATCATCAGCTCAGGGCCCTTGCCCCATCTACACGCAGCCCAGAGAGCGAATATAACTTCTCACAGGAAGCACTGTGAAGATCTAGACTTCCCTACACTGCAGCCTTCTGCATTACCCCATTGTCAGTAGGGGTGTAGGGTTTCCTGGCAGCACACCGGGTACTCTCCCAAAGCAAGCGTGACATTTCGAAAGCGAATCCGCAAATTTGTTGAATCTTGTCAATCACATTGGTTTAAAAATGGACAAAAAATTCAATGATATAAATTATTTCATTGGATTTATCAAAAAAGGAAAAGATCAGGTTTGTTGGCCTGGATAGGTCTGAAGCTGTATACGGGCTTATTCCAAAGAATTTTGTATCCCATATTTTCCATGACGCCCTCTACATATTCTGGGACGGACCTCTGTGTCAAAAACACAAGCATGGCGAAGACGGTAATTAAATGATCGAGCCACCCCATTATGTAGCTGAAGATGCTGTGTTTGTGCCAAAGCTGGCACTACTACTACTACTACTACTACTACTACTACTACTACTACTACTACTACTACTACTACTGACCCGTGAAGATTCCGGGGTAGAATAGGTCTGAAGCAACCCATACTTGCCGTAAAAGGCGACTATGCCTGTCGTAAAAGGCGACCAACGGGATCGGGGGGTCAGGCTCGCTGACTTGGTTGATACATGCCATCGATCCCAATTGCGTGGGTCGATGCTCATGATATCAATCACTGGATTGTCTGGTCCAGACTCGATTATGTTACAGGCCGCCGTCATATAGCTGGAATATTGCTGAATGCGCCGTTAAACAACAAACAAAACAACAACAAAAAACTACTACTACTACTACTACCATCATTATCGTGAAGAGCCGGAAATGTGATGTCATTCAATCACCAGCTATTGTTTTGGAACAACCGCAATGACGTAAACAGCCAACTGATACATGAACAGCAATGCCAAAAGAAGATTACACTTGAAAATTGGATTTGACCACAAAATTACAAAAGTTATCACAACGTGCCTAGGTTGAGAACACTCGCCCAAACACTGCAGACTGAGGTCAACAAGGACATCCGTATCAAATAACCATTTCTTGCTTGTTTAGGTTTTAGCCACCATCAAAATATGGGTGTACACTTTTCATTTGTATGTCGTACTAGACAATTCACGAGGATATATGTATATACCTATCACCACTTGTCAACTTTTCACGTCCACAGATATAACACAATCATCGTTCATTACGTAATAGTTGTTGTTCTATCTAACATGTCACGGCTGTCATCGTGATCGGGGTGTCACGTATGGCAGGTGCTCCCTGTCACATGACCGGTGTCACACGGCATGGATTCTCGTGGACCCTCCCCCCCTCCCGCCATCCTCTAGGTCGAGAGCATGCATTAAGGACACAAGTATGTCTGTGGCATATGCCTGTTACTCCATCATAGCTAGTACTACTCCCAACGTTAAAAAGCCTGTGAAGTCGAAGTGGTTGTTGAAGCAGATCAGGCGTTATTCTGCTTCAACTGCTTAGTCTCCAGTATAAGTTCATGTGTCTACATCTACAAGTAACGTACACTTTATACAGCATTAACGCTCATCAGCTTTCGACATCAAATCAATCAATGTAAGATGAGGTTTGATCATTTTAAAACTTTGACATAGTATTTGCGTAACAACTCACAGAGTTCTTGAGGTGAGCTAGATATTGTTAGAATGAGTCATGCCAACAGATAGATCATTTAAAAACTTGACATGATATTTGCGTAAAAACAAACACAGTCCTTGAATGAGCTAGATAATGTTAGAATGAGTCATGCCATGAGAATTTGGAATACACAATTGGAGTCTGTAATATGTGATTCTATGTCTAACGCTGTAGGCTGTAGTCTAAGTCACATGTCCCACACTATAGCCAGTAGGCAGTGTTATATGGTCTACGTTGTAGGCTGTAGTCTGGGTCAGATGTCCCATAGCGTCGTGTAGACTGCATCCAGTGTTATATGTCCTGTGTTGTTGATTGTAGTCTATGTCCGATGTCCCATACTGTAGCCAATATCCAGTGTTATATGTGTTATGTTGTTGGTTGTAATCTATATCCGATGTCCCATACTGTAGCCAGTAGGCAGTGTTCTATGTCCTATGTTGTTGATTGTAATCTATGTCAGATGTCCCATACTGTAGTCAGTAGGCAGTGTTATATGTCCTATGTTGTTGGTTGTAATCTATGTCCGATGTCCCATACTATAGCCATTAGGTAGTGTTATATGCCCTATGTTGTTGGTTGTAATCTATGTCAGATGTCCCATACTATAGCCAGTAGACAGTGTTATATGACCTATGTTGTTGGTTGTAGTATATGTCCGATGTCCCATACTGTGGAGAGTAGCCGATGGTATATGACCTAGGCTGTAGGCTGTAGCTAAAAGAACTTTACCCATACATCAGGCTGTCGTCAATGCCAGGTACGCCAGTATGTCATAAACATGTAATAAATGCCAGTATTATTAATGTCTATGTCTAAATATATCCGGCGTATTTTCGGACAGGTTGTTCCTCGTTCACGAAAAGATTTATTCAAACATAGGTAAGGTACAAGAAGGACAGTGTCTTGACTGACGGCGTCTATATATATGTGAGTCGTTTGTCACCAGCTACTACACATGACTGACAATCTGTCTCAAATAAGTGTAATATAGGAATTGTAGGCGTTGGAATGTCAAGGCGTGGTTG